TGCTCAAGGCCACGGTGAGTTAGGGACAGAGGTGACTGTGCTAGCTTCTCCCCCACCCCTTTCCTTCCCATCAGTCTTTCCTGCCCCCTTGGGAAACCCCAGAAGGCTGTTCCCCTCAACTCTGATGTGCTGTTGTCTCCAGAGACCTGAGAGACAGATGCCTCTGGAAGGAAGGACCTCGCCTTAGGATGAAGCCTCGTGCGGGGAGTTTTCTTGGGCAGTGCAGGGGCGAGGAGGGGGCAAGTATGTTTCCCGTCCGTGGATCTGCCCCTCGTGCCTCTGCTCTGTCCCCCAGGACTCCGGGCCGCTCAGATGGCGCCGTGCCCCAGGCTTCCGTACATCACCTGTGACACTTCCCTCAGTCCTCCCGCTCTCTGTGACCCGGGGAGGGAAGCAGGCCTAGGGGGCTCCCCGACTCCCACGGTCCTCACACAGGTGCCCACAGAGGTCCTGTCTCTAGGAAGCTGTAGGGCGGAGGATGAGGGCAGAGGGCGGAGGGTGGAAGGCGGAGGGTGGAGAGGGGGGTGGAGAACCAGGACCCTGCCCTGTGTTGCTTGCTTCTTGGTTCAACCTTCCCTTTCTTGGGGTTACTTCTGGTTTTCTCCAGGCCCCTGGGGGCTCAGGGAAGGAAGGACTTTGAGTGTCAGCGCCAGAGGCCAGGGGTTGCCTCCAGCGGGTTGAGCAAGGCCCTCTGGGCCCACAGGAGAGGCCTAAGTGTGGCCATACACTGGAATGAAATTTCGTAAGGAACCTCACTACACCGGCAGGAGAGGGGGCTGCTCTGACACGCGTGGTTTGGGGACCTGCATCCAGCAGGCCGGCCGGGCAGGAGCCTCCGGGGCGCAGCAGCACAGCTCGCACGGCGGGTGGGTCTGTGCGGCACCCCTGACCGGGCAGGCTGGCCCAGCCTCTCCCCTCCCCCCGGGGCCTTCGTCTCTGGCGGGAAGGCTGAGGCGGGACCTCTACAGAGCACCCCCTCCCTCCCAGGAGGCACCAGCCCTGGCTGGGACTCAGCGATCCCACCACCCGGCGGACAGTGGGGTCCTTGGCTTTAGAGTCGCACAGCTCAGAAGCCCCTTGAGAAACGGCCTCACCCCTGGCCCCTTGACCGGCCCCTCTGTTTGGCCAGAGAGAAGGGATGCGGGAACCCAGGTTTGGTCTTACCTTGTGGCTGCCAGCCAGCCAGCCAGCCGGTGACTTTGGACAAATAACCAAGTCATTCTGCACCTCACTTCCCATGTTTGAACAGTGGGGGTAACAGTGCCCGTGTGATGGTTATGGAAGGGCCTCTCGGGTGCTCAGTGATTAACGGGGGGCCTGGCACCGAGGGAAGGCTGGTGCTACTGCCCCGTGACGCGGTGCGTCCCCACGCCCTGCCTTCGGGCGGGGGAGCTGGCCTCAGTGTCTGGGAGGCGCGGCCTCAGGGTTTGGAAGAGGGATGAGGAGGGCTGCTCCGAAGCTGGGGGCCGGTGAACCAGCTCTCCCGTGCGCATGCCCAGCCCCACCGACCATCGGTTCGAGAGTTTGCGGCGAGCCTGGCGGTCACAGGGCTGCCCCGTGAGCTCCCAGACAGGCCACTTCCCGTCTGGCCCTCCTCAGCCAGCTCGTCTCTAAGGCAGTGCTGGGCCCAGACTGTCTGCCGGGTCAGCATTCCTTAAACCCGGGTCTGACGTGTGACCCCGCTCGGCTTTCCTGGCGCAGGTTCACGTGAGTCCTTCCTGTAAGCCGAGTGGAAGGAAGCGCCGGCCCCTGGTCTGCGAGCACAGCCCGGAGAGGAGAGCTGTGCCCAGTGGGGGGCGCGGCAGTCACTGGGCCCAGTGAGGGTGGAGGGTGGCTTTCCTCGCCGTCTCCCGTGGTGCCAGCTGGGTAGGCTGGGTGCTTGCCGGGGCCGCTGGAGGGGATCGGATGACAGCCTCCAGGCCTAACCTGCTCTGACCCTATGTCCCTGTGTGGGGCTGGCCTCGGACCCGGCTAGCTGGGCCTTTGCCTGGCCCGCTCCTGCTTGGGGTGCATGCAGACTGAGCTGGACCCGCAGTGCGCTGGGAGGGAGCAGGCAGGACCAGGGCAGGCTGCTCTGTTCCCGGCTCTGGCGACTCTCACGCTCACACCTGCTCTATACCTACAAGGCCAAGTCCTCGCCAAGTTCTTGGGGCACAACCCTGAACAAACCGAAAACCTCTCTGCCCAGAGAGCTTAAACGGGAGAGACACGAGACAGGTAGCTCCTGTGGTCTAGGCTGACGGCGAGGAAAGCAAGCACGGAGGAGTCAGGATTGGGGGTGCGGGGGGAGTGTCCACCTGGGCCAGGAAGGAGGCTCCTGAGAAGGGGACCTGTGGAGAGCCTGGGTGAACAGAGGGACGGGACAGGGGGGGAGAGGGAAGAAGGACATTCGAGGCCAAGGAAAGCGGCCGTGAGACAGGCAGAATTCAGAACTGGTACCGGTGCCAGCGTGGCCTGGGGGTGGAGTGGGGAGGGGACACGGGTGGGAGATGACGGTGAGGGTGGGCTTGGCCCTGTTGGTCCTTGTGGGCTGTGTTGAGGGGTTTGACTTTTGTTCTGAGTGAGTGGTGACGGAAGCCATTGCAGGGTACGGAGCCGTGTGCTCTGTGCTTGTAAAAGATCATTGTCCTTGCTTGGGGACCTGTGAGGAGGCCCAGGTGGAGCATGGGCAGGTGGCAGCAGAGGCAGGAGGAGAACTGGCCACGAATGCTGGAGGGAGAACCAGTGGAGGGCCTGGAAGGAGGAACTTGGAGGGAAAGAGGCATCAAGCATGCGGCCAAGGCTTTCTGTCTTAGCGGCTGAGTAGGTGCCATGACGTAATGAGGGCTAAGCTGCAGAGGAGCTAGTTGGGGGCGGGAGGGGGCAAGGGTCCAGTTGGGGGCATGTGCAGATTGACGACTCCTTCGAGCGCTCAGGTGACGAGGCAAGTAGATGCCGAGGTCTGACTTGGAGCAGCTGTGGCTGGAGCCGGGGGTGGGTCAGCAGTGTGCAATGGGGAGGGGATGGAAGCCTGTGAGCCTCATCCAGAGAGCAGGGGTGGGCAGGCCTGAGTGGGAGGATCGCCAGACTTTAGAGAGCTCTGAGGGGGAGGAGGAGGAGGAGGAGGAGGAGGGAGGAGGAGGAAGGAGCACGAGGAAGAGGAGGAGGGTGGGGGAGGAGGAGGAGGAAGGGGGAGGAGGAGGGAGCGGGGAGAGAAGGAAGGAGCAGGAGGAGGAGGGAGGGAGGGAGGAGGAGGAAGGAGCAGGAGGAGGAAGAGGGGAGGGAGGAGGAGGAGGGAGGGAGGGAGGAGGAGGAAGGAGCAGGAGGAGGAGGAAGGAGGGAGGGGGGAAGGGAGAAGAAGGAGGAGGAGGAGGAGGGGGAGGGAGGGGGAGGAGGAGGAGGAAGAGGAGGAGTAGTGACAGGGGACAATGCCTGGGAATGTGCCTCGTGGCCCAAAGGTGAGTGGTCTGTGGAGACGAAATGACCCGCTCCGTGGAGACCAGATGAGGGGAGAGCCTCCAGCCCAGCGGTGGCAGGAGGGAGTGAGACCCGGGACCGGGCTGGTGGGGGAGCCTCCAGGCCCTGTGGGCAGTGATGCTCACCTTCAGGCTCACGCACCACCTGAGACTGGGGAGAGGAGGAGCTGTGCGCCCCCCTCCGCCCCCCTTGGCATTCTGCCTGGCCGTGCTCCCCTCAGTGAGATGGCGATCGGTCCCCCACGGCTTCTTCACTTGGGCACAGGCTGTGCGGGAGCCACCGTGCGGAGGCTGAGCCCGGAAGCTCCCTCCCGCCCGGCATGCCCACGCTTTCTGAAACCTGTGCTGCCCAGCAGCCAGGCTGCTCTCCGGTCCTCTTCCCTCCCAGGCGGGCGGTGGGCGGCGTGGTCAGGCCGTCCTGAGGCGGGAGGATCCACGTGGGGGAGGTGAGAGCCACGGACACCCCTGGCTCTGTTCTTTCCCACGAGGACCTGGGGGATGGCAGCGAATGCCGGGTGGTGTGAGGAGCGAGACAGCAAGCAGGAGGCTGATAACTGCGGCCAGGAGGGGTGTTTCCCGTGGGAAAGTCCTCCCGTTCAGGAATCTGTGGGTGTTGGGGCGGGGGTACACCTGAGGCAGCCTGACCCCAGTGGGTTCCTGCAGGTGGCAAGTCAGGGGTGGGCACATGGCTTAGCTCAGGCCTATTTTTTTAAAAAATATATTTTTATTGATTTTTTACAGAGAGGAAGGGAGAGAGATAGAGAGCTAGAAACGTCGATGAGAGAGAAACATCGACCAGCTGCCTCTTGCACCCCCCCCACTGGGGATGTGCCCACAACCAACGTACATGCCCTTGACCGGAATCGAACCTGGGACCTTTCAGTCCGCAGACCGACGCTCTACCACTGAGCCAAACTGGTTTCGGCAGCTCAGGCCTATTTTAACAGTAATGAAGGCCCCAGCATATCCCGAGCACACGTGTGCGGGGGCTGGGGTGAGGGTTCAGGGGGGTGGGGTAGGGGAGAGGCGAGAAAGCTGCTTGAGTCTGTCCAGGCCTGAGGCCTGAGGCCGGAGCCGGGTGGGCTGGTGCCAGGTTGTGCTGCACGGAGCCTGTGGGGGCACCTGGGCGATGTCGTAACACAGACCGCACTGAAATAGGGTGCTTGTGGGATGGGAGTGCTTGTGGAAGGGGGTCAGCAGCCGTGGCCTGCCGGCTCTGACTAGTGTATTGGCCGGGCAGTGTGTTCTGGGACCTCTGCCTCCGAGCGGAGCTGGAGGAGTTTGCTTAAATGCTCAGGGAAGGTAGCTGTGGGTTATCAGAGCCTTGTTCTGGGGTCCACACCCTGTCATCTGCAGGGCCCAGAGGCCCTGACCCACCAGGATGGACATGAGCCATTGCCACTCCTGCTGGCCATATGGAGAGTCCATTCATGGTACTCTGAGAAGTCCGTTCATGGTGCTGTCTTCCAACCTAACTCTCTCTCTCTCTTTCTCTCTCTCTCTCTCTCTCTCTCTCTCTCCCTGCCCCCCCTCTCCCCTGCTCAGTTGGCTGGAGTTGCCTTCCTCGGAGCCGGACTGTGGGCATGGAGCGAAAAGGTAAGTGTGGCTGTCACTGGGACCCTGAGCATCGGCAGCCAGAGCCAGGCTGGTTCAGCGTCCATGGTCCCTTCCTCCCCGGCAGGCCTTTCTGTGCCAGGCCGTGATTTGCAGTCATCCATCTTTATGGAGTTCTTGGATGGAAGCGGGTGTGTGGTCTGGAGCTGGAGTGGGCAGGGGCCGGGCTGGGGGCCGGGTATTGAGCCCTGTGAGTGCAGAGTCCTTTTCCTGTTCCCGAAGCTCCCGGTCGCCCTGGGCGGTGGCAGCTGTGTCCGGCAGGTCTGAGCCTCTGGGAGCAGGAGGTCCCTGTGTCTATTCCTGAAGCTCTGTCCTCCCCCAGAAAGACTTCAGACCGGGGTGCAGGGCTCTGCTGCCGGCCCTGTGGGCAGGGGTCCTGGGCCTTGTGCGCCTCCTTGCGCAGCCTGTGGAGGCAGGTGAGAGATAGGCTCTGACTCTCCAGGGCAGGGCAGTGGGAACTCTGGGGACCTTTTGCTCTGTGGGCGGGTGGGTTTTGGGAGATGGTGAGGGCTGAACCAGGCCCTCGTAGCAGGGGAGAGAAGGAACAAGGCCCCGCAGGCCGGCAGGGAACAGTGGGAACTAACATTTTACCTTGAGCCTCGGGCCCAGGGCTCTCTTTCCTCAGTGGAGCCTCTAGAAGGTGGAGGTAGGAGGATCTGAGAGCTTTCTTGCCTTAGGAACTGGAAAAGCCCGCCTTTGGGTTTGGACCCCTTCACGGTGGCCTGTGAACCCCTAAAGGTCAGGCGGGAACTGAGGTGCAGTCCCTTTGTCCCTAGTGGCCTGGAAGCAGGTGCAAGCCATAGCCCATAGCGCCACCGTGTGGCCACCTCCGGAACAGCAGCAGCTCAAACAGCAGAGCCTGGCGCTTAGGCCTGGTTGCCCAGCTGCCTAGTTCCCACTGGGTGGCCTGGTCCGGCTGCTGTTTTCTCCTTCCTCCTTAGAATCCCACAGAATTGCTGTGTCTGTTTTGGTTGCCAGTAATCACATGTGATTTTATATTTAAATTAGTTAAAATAAAATACAAGTTAAAATTCATTTCTTCAGTTCCCCTGGCCGTGTTTCAGGTGCTCGGTAGCATCAGTAACCAGTGCTGCCATGTGGACCACAGAGCTTCAGGGGCAGCTGCCTTCCTGGCCTCGCTGCGTGTTTCCACGCTGAAGCCCCTTTCCTCTCAGCACAGTGGGTTCTCTGTTGTCAGATGTCGAGGCCAGGGCGAGGCTCCGGCTCCGCTGACCTGACCACAGGTCCCAGGGCTCCCCAGGGCTGCCCTCACCCAGGCCTGGACGGAGACCAGGGGCTGAGGTGGGCAGGGATCTGCTGGGCAGAGAGGCCTCTAGGGGCAGGAGGGCAGGGCCACGCGCTCCCTGGCTTGCAAGGCAGGAGCCTGTCCTCACTCCGTTCTGTACACGGCCCAAACCTGCCACACTAGGACTGTCTTTAGGCTGACCTCGCCCTGCTCTCTGCTTCTTTCAGGGGGTGCTGTCCGACCTCACCAAAGTGACCCGGCTGCATGGGATCGACCCGGTGGTGCTGGTGCTGGTGGTGGGCGTGGTCATGTTCACGCTGGGGTTCGCCGGCTGCGTGGGCGCCCTGCGCGAGAACATCTGCCTGCTCAAGTTTGTGAGTGGCCCCGAGGCAGGGGGGCGTGGGGGCTCCGCTTTTCCTTACCGGGGCTCTGGCAGCAGCTCTCACAGCCTCCGCGGGGTGCTGCCGCCCCAGGCGGTGAGATTCCAGGACACAATCCGCGGAGCAGGCTTCTCCTCCCGGGAGAGAAGTTGGCCCCTCGCTCTCAGCTCCCAGGGGACCAGTCTGCGCCACGCCCTCCCCTCTTGCCTTTTATCTTCCTCCCGAGTTCCAGAGGAATTGTTTGCTTGCTGCTCACCTCTGCCCTTCCTGGCTGAGAGCAGGAGATGCTATCGGTGACGTCAGTGAGGAAAGCACTTCCCTCCTCCAGGGGGTATTGCTTGTGCTGGCGGAACAAGTCACGAGAGTTTAGCTTTATATTTAGAAGCTCTCTTATTTTGAAGTGCATTCCGTTAAATAGCACCTGAGGGGGACACGCCAGAGTTGTGTTTTACAACATGCTATTTGTTGAATTCATTAGACCAAGCTTCCTCTTTCCTGAGCAAAACACGTGTGGTTTTCCTAATTTTATTTTTCTTAAAAGCATTATGTTTTGTATCTTGCTTCTGGGTGAAGGGAAATTCCATTTTGGAAGTCCTGTGTGCATGTGTGTATGTATGTATGTATGTGCATGCATGTGTGTTACCCTCTGTCCTAGGCTTCAGGAAGGCCAGTGGACATGGTGGGAGGGAGGCGTGTCGACCTACGTGGGCCCTTCCAGAAAGCCACCAGCACCTGGCCCGGGGCCGCTGTGCTTCTGGCGCCGGCTTTGTGCCGTTGATTATCCTACATACCGACTGAGCGGTGCCGAGCCCGCCAGGAAACTCACCGCCCTGGCCGAGGTCTGTGACCTCAGGCAGCCTGTGTGCCTGTGTGAGCCTTGGCTTCCTGCAGAGGAAATGGCTGACAAGTTGGCTTGGGACTTTCTCAGTGTCTCTCCGGTGGCTCTCCCACCAGCAGTGCGTGGTGTGGGGAGGGATGAGCTAGTGATGCAGGTGGGGAAGGCCAGGCAGGGCCGGCCGCGGGGCAGGGCGGTGACTCCCGCTCTCGTCTCGTCCCCAGTTCTGCGGCACCATCGTGCTCATCTTCTTCCTCGAGCTGGCCGTGGCTGTACTGGCCTTCCTGTTCCAGGACTGGGTGAGGGACCGGTTCCGAGAGTTCTTCGAGAGCAACATCAGGTCCTACCGGGACGACATTGACCTGCAGAACCTCATCGACTCCCTTCAGAAAGCGGTAAGTCCGCTGCGGCACCCCGAGAGTGTGTGCTCCCGGGCAGGCATCTGTGCGCTCTCAGGAGCCCGGAGCGTGGGGGTTGGAGGGCCGCCTCTGCTGCTGGTCCGCTCGGCTCTGCCTACTCATGGGCGCTGGGCAGTCCAGGCTTCTCTTCGTGTGCCCTCTCCCCCTTTGGTTTGGGCAGGCAAGTCCAGCTGTGCCGTGGCCACCTTCCCCCAGGAGCCCAGTCCTCTCGGGGCCCAGACCTCTCGATCCCTGCCCATGCAGGTGCTGCAGCCCCCTGGGCACTGTGGGTACCGAGGGCCAGGGCGGGCCAGGGCTTCTCCTCCCCAGACACGTGACTCACTTTCAGGCTATTCCTGTGCCCTTCCTCTAGGGACCTTTCCTTTCCTGTCTGAGAGGAATGCGACCTGGAGCAGGTGGTGGTGGGGCCTGGATGCCTCAGCAGCCCAGCCCAGCCTTCCCCTAGCTGGCCTCGCCCCAGGCCGTGCACTTACCTGGAGGCCTGGACAGAGGACCACTCCCTGCCTCGCTGGCCTGTTAGCGGCGGCTCCCATGTATGGAACACATTAGTTCTGGGAGAAAATGAGCAAGGAGCATTAAAAATAACTGTGCTCTGCTCCTACTATTTACCAACACGTGTTGTTTGCCTTGTTTCACGGATCTCGGGATAAAGGCAAACCCGATCATGTGACCAGAGAGCCTTGTGCAGGGTTACCTGTGTGAGTCTGTGAAAGTCACCTCGCCCAGCCGTTTGCTTTTCTTTCTTTTTTAAATTTAATGAAGTTTTGTTGATAAAAATGTACAGCTGTGGGCCTGTTGTTCCTGCATCTTCACCAGCAGCGGGGCCTCCCCACCCCCTGGCGTTGCTGGTGTAAGTTATTGGCTCTGGGCTCAGAAACAAGTTTGCTGAATCCTGTCCTGGGAGCTCCCGCGGGGCTGCCCTGGCCACGGAGCCACGTTCTTCTGTCTCAGAGACAGCGGCCGGGCACAAGCTGATAGTTGGGAGCCTCTTACAGTTTGTCCTGTGCTGCTGTCAGACAAAACCGGGATGTTAACTGTCCCGGACTTGGCCTCTGGACCACGTATTCCTCTTGGCCTTGCCCCAGAGAAGCTCACTGGGCCTTTGTTTCTTGGCCGACTTTCCCGCGGCTCCTTCTTGTTGTCCTTGGACAGCAAGCAGAGCTCCACGGGCAGCTGCTGCCCGGCTGCCTCACAGGATCCATCCCAGCCACCCCCTGTCCTCTCACTGTGTCTTTCACCAGCCTCGCGTCTCCTCTTTGCATTTTTTCGCTCAATGGCATCAAGCGAGCTGCTGGCTCCCCCCAACTGGCCTGGAACATGGTCGTTTCTCCCTTGTCTTCCTTTCCTTTTAAAAGTAGAACGTCCCTGAGGTTCCCAGTGAATCGAGAAACCTCCTCCTGGTGAATATCACGTGATCGTTAGAGCAGCTGGAGTCACGGAGGTGGGGGTGGGAGGTGGGCTTTATCAACATGTAAGAACCCAGCAGTCGGGGTGGGGGGGCGGTGCTGTGGTCACGGCCACCCCTGCCGTGGCTACCCCGCAGCAGTGGCCGGGCCCGGGTGGGGACGGGGCTGCTCCTGGACGGTGCCTCCAGGCACGGTGCTTCCCACAGGGTTAGTTTTACACTTTCAGGCAAAGGGGGTTCTCTTGGTAGCTGCCCCGGGTGGCGGGGTGGAGTCCCATTCACCCAGTTGTAGCTGTTCTTGTGAGAGTAGGTGGGCCTGCATGGGGGGGGGGGAGGAGGACCACACCCATGTGCAGAGGGGCCTCCGAGGTCAGCGAGACCCCTGCTGTGGGCCGAGGGGGGAGGGGAGGGAATGCTTGAGGTGGAGGGGGGACCAGAGCGGGGCCAGTCTGTGGGAGCCAGTGTGTGGCTGCAGTTCCCTTCGCAAAGGGCTGCCTGGCACGTCGCTCAGCATCTCTGTGCCGGTGACGTCCGGGGCTGCCCTCCCCCGGTGTAGCGGGGAGAGGTGCGCTTAGCCATGTGTGTGACAGGGAGAGGTGCTCTTAGCCCGCGCCGCTGAGACGGCCCCGTGCTGGCGGCCGGCCGGCCGGAGCCTCACAGCCTGTCTCTGCTATAGAACCAGTGCTGCGGGGCGTACAGCCCGGAAGACTGGGACCTCAACGTCTACTTCAACTGCAGCGGCGCCAGCTACAGCCGCGAGAAGTGCGGCGTGCCCTTCTCCTGCTGCGTGCCCGACCCCGCGGTGAGTGGCTGTGTGCTCGGGCTCGGCCTCCGGGCCCGGGTAGATCCCGCACTCTCCTGCGTGCCCCCTGGCTCCAGGTTCCGGGAGAAGCAGGAGAAGACCAGGATTGTTCTCCCCGAGGGCTCGGACCTGGGTGCTGGGCACGATGTTCCGAGTGTACGCAGCCTGGTCTGCCCTCCTCCCTCTCCCTCCACAAGGGAACGCTCTGTCCTCAGAGAAAGCCCTCCGGCGCCGTGGGTGGCACTGGGGTGGCAGAGCGTGCTGTTCTGTGGTTCCTCACTCACCTGCTTTCATTCCCAGCCACAGCCCCGCCCCTGGTGGTCAGAAACCTGGGAAGGAGCCGGGAGAGTCTGCCGGGGCTAAGCTTCACAGGACGCCCGGTGACCACGGCCTGGTGCTGCTGCAGGGCTGGCCGCCTCCCTGCTGAAGGGCCGGCTCCCAGCACAGGCCCGGCCAGGCTGGTCAACAATGTTTCAGCAGCTTATAAATGGTTGAAAAATTAAAGAGGATAATATGTTGTGACATGTGAAAATTATGTGAAATTTGAATCTCGTGTCCACTCCCCAAGTTCGACTGAGCTGTAGCCGCCCGTCGTGCTTATGTTGGCCCTGGCTGCTTTCCTGCCACGTGGCCACAGCTGCACGGGTGCCCTTCGCCCGGGAGGACGGCGGCCATGCTGGGATGTGTGAGGGGTTTGCGGTGTTTGGGTGCGACTCTTCCAGAGCCCCGACCACCAGCTTCTCAGGGAACAAGAGTGACTGATGTTTCTGCTTTTCTTGCAGCAAAAAGTGTTGAACACACAGTGTGGCTATGACGTCAGGACTCAGGTGAGCGCCCCGGTCGCTGCGTCCCTCCGGTTTGCTCCCGCTGCGGTGCAGCCAGGGAGGAGGACGAGGGAGGGGAAGCTCCGGTGCTGCCTGAGTGGGGGGGAGGGGGGCGGAGGCGGTGGCCAGCGCTCGCGCCCGGAGCAGCAGTGGCTGTGATTTCAAGCCCTCAGAGCTGTAGTCACAGAACTTCACAGTTGCTCTATTATTGGAAAGAGAACAAAGGTTTGGGGACAAAGTCTACATTTTAAAAGAGATTTCTTGGGGCCCAGAGGTGTCTGTTATTTAGGGGCTCAGGATGCAGCTGCAGGAGCTCCTGACTCGGTCCAGCTGCCGATCGGAGGCCGTGGGGCAGCGAGGAGGGAGGTGGGCCAGTCCTCGGGGCGCTCTGTAGGCTCTGCAGGCTATTGACACAAACTGCCCAAGGCCACATTCTTCCTGGGTTCTGTCTGCCTGGGCACCGCTCCTGCCCCCGAGGGGCCCTGTGCAGGGGGGCCCATCCGGGTCCTGGCTCAGGGGTCTGTGCTGTGTTCCTGCAGCTGAAGAGCAAGTGGGACGAGTTCATCTTCACGAAGGGCTGCATCCCGGCGCTGGAGGGCTGGCTGCCAAGGAACATCTACATCGTGGCCGGCGTCTTCATCGCCATCTCCCTGCTCCAGGTCCGTCCCTGACCCCGGGCTGCACCTGCTCCGTTCACCCAGACTCCACAGGGGGCAGGTGCTGGTGACCAGGGGCAGTGAGATTGGGGGGAGCAGCCTGGCGAGAGGCTGATGGGAGAACGGGCAGCAGAAAGTCAGGGATTCAGGGAGTCAGAGCTGTTTTCCCGGCGTGCCCAGAGCTGGGGCAAGCAGTCGCAGCCCCCAGCAGCCTCTGGCGCCAGCCTCCAGGGCTGCCGTGCCGTGCTGTTAGGTCTGGACACGCGCCTTTTAGAAAGCGCTGGCTCTGGCCTGGCCCTGAGGAAGGTGTCTGAGGGGGGCGTGGGGCCGCTGCCGCTTCCCACACACCCTCCCTCCCTCAGCAGCAAGGCGCCTGATCTCAGCGGAAGGCTGGGAGACAGAAGCATCCAGAAAAGGGAAGAAAACATTTACTTGCAAAGCGGGCAAAGGAATCAGCTCATCAAATACAAACCACGAGAATGGAAAGGGGAGATAAAAAGTAGAGCTTCTGAGGAGGCCAGGGTCACGTTTGTCTGTTCCCGGTGGAGAAGGTCCGTCTTCCCACCTGCCTTCCCTGCGCGGGGTCGGCCTCAGAGCCCCGCCGGGGTCAGGCCGCCCTGGCTTTCTGTGGGGTCAAGTTATAGGACTCGGTCAGGAGTCACTCTTCGCAAATCAGAGCCAATCAGGGGGAGCCTGTCTTTCTTTGTTGAACCCTGGGCACAGTGTGTCCCTTCGCCTCTGGTGCCCGCTGTTTCCTCTTCAGGGCCAGGGGAGCAGCCACACAGCTCGGGGCTCGCTGTTCACTGTAGGCGGGTCTCGCTTTGCCCCTGCCCTGCGGTTCCTCCTGTGTCTTGTGTCGGGCAGGAGTGGCTGTGGTGTGCGGCACCCTCATCGGTCTCGCTTTGCCCCTGCCCCGCGGTTCCTCCTGTGTCTTGTGTCGGGCAGGAGTGGCTGTGGTGTGCGGCACCCTCATCGCCCTGCCCACGGGGCCCGCACCCCCTGTGTCCCACGCTGACTGCGGCTGCCTCTGCCGGCCTTGGTTTCAGATATTTGGCATCTTCCTGGCGAAGACCCTGATCTCAGACATCGAGGCGGTGAAGGCCGGACATCACTTCTGAGGAGCCACGCATGGAGGCCAGAGCCCTCCATGTCAGCTTTGTGTCCGGAGGGAGCGGAGCGGCCGCCCTGCCAGAGCCAGCACCGTCCTCGGCATCAGCGTGGCGTGACCTCTGACCCTGCTTGCTGGTGCTGAAGACCAAGGGCCTCCTCTTCATCCTCTGAACGGAAGGAACTTGTGACGGGGCTCCCTGCGGGGTCAGCCCAGAGACAGAACAGCGTAGGTGGAGGTGGCAACCGAGGGACCGGCTCCCGTGGCTGCCGGAAGGCTGGCTGGGCCTCCTGGAGCCCAGTGTCTGCAGGCCCCTGGCCCCTCTCCACTCCTGGCGTCGGTGCTGGCCTTTGGCCGCCCTGTCCTCTGCGAGTGGGACTTGGGTAGGGGACCAGCAGCACGGACTGGCTTCTCGGAGGATGGGGTGACAGGTGGACCTCGGAGGTTGGCAGGGTCTGCAGGATCCTCGGCCGTGTCCAAGCGCAGTAAGCCTGAGCCTGTGCGTGGAGCGGTGCGGTGAGCCCGGCCTGCTGCCCTCCCTCCTGGCCAGCCCGGCCCAGAGCTGCTCCAGTCTCCTCAGCATCACGCCCCGGAGGCACGAGGGACTGAGGCGGGGCTTTTCTCTGAGACTCACTTTCCTTTTCTTAAAGCGTGTAAATAGTTTATTTATAGGGGCCAGAATGTTCTCACTCCATCTGCTTCCTCGGGCATTCTCCCCGAGCAGCCTTACACTGTGTCTGGGACTGAAGCCATCCCTCCGGTTCCTGTGAGTCTCAGAACCAGCCCCGCCCGCCAGCTGCTCCTCCATCCCCAGACCAGGCGCCCCCGCCACACCACTGCCCTCCGCGCGGCTGCACTGTCTTCCGGTCTTGGTGCTACTGAACCCGTCACCTGGGAGTTGAATGTGCCCCAGGGGAGCCCAGCCAGGGCGCCTGCACCTTCCCCGGCCCCTCCGGCCACATGAGAGGAGCTCCCTGCAGAGCTGTGGCCGGCCTGCCCGCCCGGCTGCCGCTGGGAGAAGCCGGGACATTGTGACGGTAACTTCTGAGGTGACTCCTTTCTCCCCGACCGGGATCCTGTGGGCACCCCCCCGCCCTCCTGCCGGCTGCGCGGGACTGGCCCTCGGAAGTGAAATCGCCGTGTGTGTGCGGAGCCCGAAGGAGCGTGGGCGGCTGCGGCTACAGCTCGGGCTCCTGCTCCTCCCGGGCGGGTCCTGCCCGTCCCCGTGGTGGCCCGAGGCCGCCTCCGCCTGGCGGGCACGCGTGCTGCTGTGGCGTAGCTGGTGGGTGTTTGTTGATGATACTGTTATAATGTCTCTCCCCCTCCCCCCTTTTTTCCCCCCTACAATTTTCCCTGTAGGCTAGGGGAAGAAGAATGCTTGCGTTTTGGGACGTGTGATGCTTTTCTTTGACTGCCAAGCTCTTTTATGGAATATATCTTTATAATAACGCTGTGGTTCTGGTGGTTCTTGTTTGGGTCACATCACATGGCACAGGCAGGATCCACAGCTGCCAGGGCACCCAGGGGTACAGGGTGTGGCGGGGCAGACTGGAGGGCGGGGGGGAAGGCACCCATCGTGGGCACGATCTGAAACGCGCTGTAGTGGGTGATTTAAGATGGCTGTCCACCGTGGAGGTTACCGCTGGCACCGGCAGCTGGCGGTTAGCTCTGCCTGCAAGAAGCCCGGTGGAAGAACTTGACTTTGGAGGCTAGAGGGTCAATCTGTCCTGCCACAGGTTTGGGTCAGTCTGTCCTGCCCCAGGCAGGATGGTCCAGGCTACGTGGCTGGGGCATGGAGTTGGGCTCGGTGCCTGCTGGCCTCTCTGGCGGGGTCACTGGCAGGCCCTCCTCAGCAGGCACCTCTGAGCCGCCTGCCTGGGGAAGTGGAGGCCCCTGACCTTCCCTGTTGGGGTGTGGGCACCAGCAGCTCCTGGCCGGCCCCGTGGTCCCGTTTATTCAGGCAGACCTAGAGGACAGACCTTCACAGACCACAGCCCAGTTCTCCGGGAAGTCTGGGTTTGTTTTCCAGTTAGTTTATTAATCATGGAGCCAATTTTAGCCACCTCATTGGACTCTGAGTAGTTATATGAGAACAGAAAAGAAGCCTAGAATAAGGGGTACACATGTGGGGTCCCCAACAAGCACGGGCTCTGTCTGCACAGGGCCTAGGCAGCTGTCTGGTCACCCCCCACCCAGCTGTCCTGGGTCCCCACCCACCCCTGTCCTAGCTGTTTACAGAATGTCCTACAGCTCATTCACTTCCTTCGGCTCAGAGCACCCCCCCGGGGGCCGCCGTCCAGGGGGCAGCCCGCGGTCACGCTGCCTCAGGACTGACCGCACACCTGAGTGACGCCGGCTCTGTGCCAGGAGGGAGTGCGTACGGCCCAGGTAACAGAAACCCGGTTCAGATGGGCTGAACAATGAGAGGAGGGTTTTGGCTCCTGAAACTGGAAAGTCCAGAGGTGGGGTGAGTTTCGGGCTTGGTTTGATCTGAGTGGCTTGGTGACGCCAGCAGGATCTGGTTTCCCATCTGCTGTGCCTTCCACGGTGTCCCCATCACCCCGGGCAGAGGGGAGCCCTCCGCGGACAGCCTGGGGCCTGTGGCGGGCAGCATGTGGTGCGGCCCCTGTGCGTGTCCGTCTGCTGAGCCGGGTGGAGGGCAGTGGCTCCGTGGAAGGGGCCAGGCGCCGGGAGGCAGCCAGCCCCTGTTCTACTTCTGTGGGTGGATGTTTTGCTCTTCCCAGCAGTTATAAAAACCCAATGGACCCAGCCAGTGTGGCCCAGTGGTTGAGCGTCCACTGATGAATCAGGAGGTCACGCGTTTGATTCTGGGTCAGGGCATATGCATGGGTTGCAGTCTCGGTCCCTGGTGGAAGGTTTGCAGGAGGCGGCCGATAGATGATCCTCTCATCATTTATGTTTCTCTCTCTCTCTCTCTCTCTCTCTCTCTCTCTCTCTCTCTGAAATCAATAAAAATATGAACACCCCCCTCCCCCCCCAAAAAAACACACAAAACAATAGTATTTTGCTATTGGAATTACTTCCTAGGAAGGTTTGTAAGAAAAACATATTATTATTATTTTGTTGATTCTTGTTCGAGGATATTTTTCCTATTGATCTTTTTTTTAATTCTTTTTAGAGAGAGTAGAAGGGAGGGAGGGAGGAGAGGAGGGCGAGAGAAATATCAGTGTGAGAGAGACACATCTATTGGTTGCTTCATGCACACGCCTGACCAGTAAGTGCCCTTGACTGGGAATTGAGTCTGCCACCCTTCTGTGCGCAGGCCGGTGCTCTAACCACTGAGCACACTGGTCAGGGCAGTTTTTAAAGGAGTTCTTTCTGAAGGGTGGGCTTATATTGTAATGAATGGGTACTCAGGGCTGGGCCATAATTGGTCTTTGGTGACATTGCCCTGAGCATCTTCGATATACAGGCTAATTCTGGGCCTAAGGGGTGACCGACAGCAGCACAGACTCCACAGGGAGGCAGAGCCAGGCTGGCAGGGCGTCCAAGCTCTCCGCCTTTGCCTGGGGAGATGGTTGGTCACGAGCACAGTGGTTTAGAGGCAGCCTCTGTGTAATAAGGACACGACTCAAATCCATGCATCCCTTGGAGGTTGTCGAGGGAATGAGCTGCAGAGTCTGAGTGGACACAAGTTGGCACCTGCCTGCTGGCCAGGCTGCAGGTCTAGGGGGTGGCGCCTGTGTCCTCGAGAAGCCTCAGGCCCTGAATCCTTGTGCTCGGTGAGGGGCCTGTGGAGTCCAGACGGACCCCTGCCTGCCCTGATGGTCGGGCTCTCCTGCTTCTGGGGAAGGTGGGCGCCACCTGCCTGCGTGGGAGCCAGGTGAGTGGGGAGGGAGCGGGCAGTCCCGGCGCTGGGCCTGCCTCTCGGGAGACGGGTGAGGCCATGGAGGACCCTCCATTTCCTCCGCTCCAGGTACCCCTTTGGGTTAGGGCCTGGGCTGTGCTGCGGAAGCTGGGGCTCAGTTCCTTCCTTGGTAAAACGGAGAGCATTCTCCTGATTTCACAAGGGCTCCGGGAGTGAGAGTGAGTGAGTATGAGTGACAGAGCGTGGTGACCCTGAAAGGCAGTGTCCATCCTCGGTCACCTTAGTCGCCAGCCCTCTGGCCTTTGACAAGGTATTTCGCCTCTAAAAGCCTTTTCCATAAAACGGGGTAATAATGCCCTACGGGGGGTTGTTTGGAGGATTAAATGAGATGAGGGGGTGAAGCGTTCTAACACAGGAGCGGATTATTTCCTGCACATTCCCAGCGTTATTGCTGATACGACTGGAAGACGCATTGTCCGTATATACGACTCCCCGCCCCTCCCCCTCTCCCCCTTCCCAGGGCTGGGCCACCTGGGTCCCATGTGAGCCACTGGGCTCCCAGCCAGGCCGAAATAAACACCCCTTCCCTGTCCTTCAGGACAGGGCTGTGAGGTCTGTAGGAGCCTCAGGCACCTGGCCTTCAAGGTCTGTTCGCTTTCTGGGTGGGAGGCGGGAGAAGGGTTGCTTCCTGCCTGGAGTGGATCCTGCAGGAAACCAGCACAGTGGGAAGCTGACCCTGGAGCCTTCAGAGGGAGCAGTGGCCCTCACCTGCCCAGGGGCCCTGGGCGTCTGCAGAGGCCGGACAAGGGAGCCAGCCAGCGGGGGGCCACAGCCTGCCTTGGGGGCCCAGGAGGGGTAGTTGGTAGGAGAAAGGGGTTTAGGTCAAAGTAGCTTTGAATGGAAAAGAGAAAAGGGCCTGGAAGCAGCCACTACACATGTTCTGAAATGGCAGAATATGTGTTTCAGTGAGAGAGACAGAAAGGGGAGGGGGGGGGCAGGCCAGCCCATAGGCCCGACAATGCATGCCCACGCCTCCCTCCACCTTCCTGGAAAAAATCTTTATGTCTAAAACGTGCTGGAAGTTCCCCGAGGCCAGGAAGTCACCCAAGTAAACTGTCTCCATCCGGGCTCTGAGGCAGCATGAGCCCGGCGTCTCCCCGTGGCCGTTCCCCCCAGCCCAG